GGTGATGTAAGATTAAACTGGAGAGTATTTTATCTACATTAATAAAGGCAGCAGTTTATACCTAAAGAGAAATAAGTTTGATGAATAACTTTAACTACAAAAAAAATCTTGTAGGAGGTTTTGTAGACTGACCCCTAATTTACACTATATGCGTTATGGCTCCGCTCTACTCCCGCTCTGACCTCCGCAGCAAACACGCACCCATTATAGTCAATGAGAGTGTTTACACTGGCTGCGCACAGCAGCGGTGAGAGGACGGCGATCCGGCAAAATTAGATCCGATCCTATTTCTGCCAGATGCCGGAGCTGTGACGGAGTCAATTTTTAAAGATTATGTCGCACCAACAGGATGAGGAACAAGCACAACATCCGTGTTTTCAAAATAAGACACTATTAGGCGGAATAATTTGTCGCAATAATGTCAAAATCCCAGCTATGTTAATCAATATATGGATATGCAGTATTACACAAATGCTGTCAGAATGTATCGTTCTGTTTGGGAAGCAGATGGAAACATGTAGCATGTTTACACACATGATACACATGGATTTTATTTAGAAATCAGAAGTTTCAAAAAGACAGCAATACAGTTTCAATCATAGATATCAAAAGCTTTTATATCAATGTTTTCAGCTGTGTTTAAAGTTCATCTTTCACAGAATTAATTTTTTGCTCTGACTTCCACATTTATCACTGGATTTATTGTGCGATCTCCTTCCTGCACACGCTCCCTCCTCTGTGTGTCGCACCAGAGAGGAGTTCTTACAGATCTGTTGGAGCATCTACTGTCTGATCCCGTTTCTACCCTTGTGTGTTCTTGTCTAAGTTTTGTCTTCAGCAGCTGTAGGTTTTGCTGCCATGACAAATTTTGTTTTTGTTAAAATAAAGTATTTAGTTTACCCTTGAGCCTCCTGTGTACAGTCTTTCATAGTGGTTGATGCAAATGTTGTTTTATGGCAAATTACCTCACTGTTATTTCTAATCCTGCAGGGCTGCACGTGTGGTACTGCAGCTATTCTATGTCAATAACTGTGCAATGCAAAAATGACAGTGGTGTATAAATTCAAGATGGCAACTTGGTCTTGGCTTTAATTGGGTTAGCCATTAGCTTGAACACTTGTTCAAAATCAAGAATAATTTCTCCAAAAATATAATTCAAACAGCTTAATGCAACAGATAAGATATTACCTATTCATAACTTTTGCACAGAACTTCACTTTAAAATGTCTGAACCATCACTTTAAACATTAAAATCACATCTTACTTGTAACTTGTGTGCATGTTTCTCTTGAGAAGCAGCAGTTGCAGACTAAAACAAGAAGACAACATTTACCTTCTAAATCAGGGGTGTCAAACTCCAGTCCTCGAGGGCCGCTATCCTGCATGTTTTAGAGGTTTTCCAGCTCCAACACACCTGATTCAGTGATTGAATTAACTCTTCAAATTGGGCAGAAGCCTGTTAATCACCCAGCGATCAAAATCAGGTGTGTTGGAGCAAGAAAACCTCTAAAACATGCAGGATAGCGGCCCTCGAGGACTGGAGTTTGACACCCCTGTTCTAAATAGTTCAGGATCACATTGCTGGATCGGCTCTGAGAGCTGAAGCTTTTAAAAAGTGACGGATGGTTTTAATTAAATGCTCAGAATCTGGTGGGAGTTGGCTGAGTGCTAGACTGCCCTCTGAGAGACTCCGAGGACTCTGGCAAACAAACTACACACACTTCTCGCCGATTATCTTCAGTGAATCAGCCCGACTGTCACCCCCATTTCTATATTAAATTTAAATAATCCAATCCACATCCTAATCTGCTATTAGCCTCTGCAACCACAGAGACTAATATTATCTCTGTCTCTCTTTGTCTTTCCTAAATTTGGTGCAATTTCTAATTATAAGATCATAAAAAAACAGCCCAAACACAATGGTGCATATGCAGTCATCACGTTGCTTAGCAACAAATATCCAGCGATAGACCCAAACCTCTTACCTAAACCCATATAAAAGGTCAGGGCTCTTTTTGTGCAGCCACTTTATCCCCAAACACTTTGCTGCTGCAGTGATGAGAAGCGATGGAGGTGGAACCAGGCAATGGAGGCACATTTGCACCAGACTGTCACTATCAAACTCTGTGATTTACTCTGCAGCTGTTCCACACACCATAGTATCTGTCAGCTCAGGTTACTGCAGACTAATGTCTGGATGTGATAAGCTCTAACCCAGTCCAGCATTCTAAGTAATCTACCCTTCATTAAAGCAGATAAAAAGGTGCTGCTTGTCTTGAATTTATTTAGTGCTGTAAGGATAAATAGTCTTCAAGTCATGGCACAGCAGTTAAAAACTACTTTAGAAAATGTGAGCCAATATTAAAACACAAGAACCCTATATTGCATTTATTTGATAATACCTTTCCACAATAATATACATTCTTGTCAGTCAGATGAGACTGAGGCAGTGAATCAAAATACTGGTGTTCAAAATGTACTCATACATTCAGTAAAGACCTCAATCTTAAAATAATCCTAAAAGGCAGAAATTTGTGCAATACACAACATAGATCAAGATGTGTTAGCACCTGACATTTGTGTTGGGGATGACTCTCAGTAACTACCACTTTAAACTGTAGATCACTGTCTGTACTTTTTAAAGTAATACACATTTTTGTGTTGACCGATAACTAATAGCTGTGATGGCCATCTTGAGTTGTGAAGTCGATGAGTTGTAGAGCATCCACTGATTACTTTAAGAGATATTTTGCAAACAGACAGAGTTGATTCAAAAAGTTAATGTCAGCTTTTGGCCAGGCTGATACAGAAAGTGAAGAGGTCAGGATATGTTATGTGATTTCCTCTCAGCTACATGTCCCTCTTTTTTTTTCAGTTTCTGAAAAATTGCGAAAATATCCATTTGTGTTCGCTAAGGTTGATTAGTTGTTGCAGCCATCTTAAATTAAACCAGTGATTCCCATTGTGGGGTGTGAGGGTGTGTGTTGTGGGGGGAGGGTATGACTGAATAAAAAAAGATGGATTCTTGGACATTATTAGCAAAATGAACAGGTTTATGATGAGGCTCCCACATAAATGCAAAGAAGTGAGAATTAAAAGGTCTATTTTTGCTCAACAAACCTTTATTTTTTTCTGCTCTGTGAGTTGTTTATGTTTTTAACCCATTCTGCACAGAGAGGTTAGAAATTTATTGTACTGTATATATA